CCAGGCAGTATCCATTAGCCAGAGAAGGTCGCCGGCGACCGACGGGTGGGGGTAGCGACAAAAAACGGCCATATATAAAAATCTAACGATCGTTCCCCCACAACCTCTGCTTGGAGAGTACCATTTGTGGGGTTAGCGACAGAAGAAATGGGGCATATGTAATATAGAAAGGTAGCGATCTTCCCCACCAACGTCTGCTTGGAGAGTAGCCTCTAACAGGCTTCAGAAGCGACTGGAAAGGGGAAAAATTTAGCCTCCACCAGGCCTTTCTACGGGAACATGGATCGTAGAATTCGACAAAAAAGAGAGTAAAATTGGCCAAGGGAGTGCCAAAAATTACAAAATAGACGATGGTGGTTGAAAAATCACCACGAATAGACACATAACATGCCAGGGGAGTGAAGTTTGCCGCTCCACTAGTCAGCCCCTTCTGAAGCCTGGTAGAGGCTATCTTCGGAGGACATTGGCGGTAAATCGAGTGTAGATTTTGACAGAGGAAAAAAACACGAGGTCAACAATATCGGTAATTTTATAGATATTATTGATACTCATGATGTTGATACTTCAATTTTACGGTACAAATTAGTGCTGTTACTTCAGATAGAATAGAATTACTATACCTATTCTTGCGGTTCCCTTCATAAAATTGGCATAAAATGGCATAAAGTTCAGACCATTTATTTCAGAGTCCAAGTTCAAAAAACAAGCAAAAGGACACACATCAGCGTTTGGCATTTCACCAAGTTCTCAAGTGTTTTTACGTACATTTCCAGTGAACTACAACAGGTGGCCACGACAGGAAACCGATAAAAACGACACGTCGTAATTTGTGTGCACTCTACTTAAAAAGGTACGTCAGAACTGTAATGGCAACAACAACTAGTAGTAGGGCCACATGGACTTAATTTTATGGATGATATCCGCGCGCGCATTGATTTTAACTTGTTCTCAAAAAAAAAAAAAAAAAGGATCACGTCCTCCGAGGCTCTGGCCTGGCTCTAGGCCCGGGTAGTCCATGGTAGTTAGTGACAATACGGAGCCGGTGGTAACTCTGGAGGACGGCACCCAGGCTACCGAAGCTCCACGACGGCAAGACCTCAGTATCTCATACGTACAGTGCCGATTTATAAATTCCGCAAAAAGCTAGCATGTGCCGGCTTGTCGTATACGTCGCTAAGTGCTGCCGCAAATTCACAATACCTGAGCTTTGTATTCCTGTGGTTTAGTAGCATTGTTATTTTTGGCCGGAATTTTTTTATTCGCCCGCGCGCACTAGTTTGGGGGTCTTCAGAGGATGTCATCTATAAAATTAAGACGGTGTGGCCTAGTAGTAGTCTATTTTTGGGTCTCAGTCCACATTTTGCATGGAGACAACTGTCGGAATACACCCCCTGCTAGCCAACGCGTTTCTCATTCAAAAGAGCAGGAACAGCTTTTTTATGGCACAATACAAGTTCTCACTCAAAGGCCTTTGATCGTTGACCTATGATTAATTCACTTGTTAACAAATTATTGCTTCGTATCAGACAACAAACCTAGAGGGAGGGGGGATTGTTATGGGTCATAATAGCTCTTATATGCTAATGAAGCGGAAAATGGTAAATTGGGTAATTATGGCATAGTTGTCAAACTGGGTAAAAACCGAGTAAAATGCTTGTTTTTGTAGGTGATAGGTAGTACTAATTTCGGAAGGCTTTGGAACAATTTTACTACATAATTGTATAAATGTACGAAACTCACACGATATAATGAATAAATGAAGAATGATTTTGACATTGCATTATTATACAGGATTTTCTAACGGTCTTTTCTTACGATTGCATAATTCATGTAGCTTGTACCACTAATCCCCAGACATATGCCCGGCTTCGTATTGTTTTGTTTGTCGTTTGTTTTGTTTTGTACGAATTTCAAGTTGTTGTTTTTGCTACTGTCGCAAAGAGCCCTACGTCAGTAGAATCATAGCAGGTCCTACCACAGTTGGATATTTAAAATTATTTTAAAAAATGTATTCGTGTATGGCTGCAAAGACAGTATCAAACTGGTAAGACAGTTATAATTTGACAGACAGTTACGATTTGCCACCAGAATATAAAGAAGAAAGTCGGATAGAAATGCCTACAAACACGCCAAAAATTAGCCGAAGCCAAAACCTCTGCTTGGACAAAATGTTGGAGAGTAAGAGAAAATGCCTAGTCTTTCCAGCCGTCTCCCGAAGCCTGGTAGAGGCTAGAAAATGTCCACGGCGGAGCCTGTATTGCTGTGGTGGAGGCTACAGCAGACGCCCTGAAGTGTGGCCTGATACTAGGCTACATATTCTAGCCTCTACCAGGCTTCGGGAGGCGGTCGAAAAGAGTAGAAAAAAGGACATTCTATACCAGGAAATTGGTCAAATAGAGAGATAACATGCCGAGGGAGTTGGTCCGCTAGAGAGTTCATTTTGAGGCATGGTACTAGACAATTTCTACTTTTTACCAGCTGCCTTCCGAAGCCTGGTAGAGGCTAGCATAATCAGCATTTTTGGAGTATTGGCCCGTACATCTGCACCTGTAGATATTCCCTCATGACTTCCCGTCCTATATAATAATCATCCGTCAACTTGACGGCGTGGAGACGGCCGATTGTTTCGGCGCTAATCGGGATTTCACGGGGAAGTCGGGTGATAATCTGTCGGCAATTACCGGCTTTCGGGCCCGGTATAAAGACAAAAGAGCAGCCGGGCCGCTTCTTCACTCCGGGATCTAAGGACTTTTGTCAACAATGGCGAATAACAGAATTAACAGACACAACAGACATTGATACAACAGAAGAATGGTGTTACGAAGATCATCAAGGATAATGTCCTTACGTATATCAAGGAGCTTGCGTAGATCAAAGGCATATTCATGAAGTTATTAGTCATATTTTTAGCTAGTATCTAAGAGACTCTATCGATTGCAGTAAAAATAGTATTAATTCTTGGTTATCAACATGTTAAAATGAAACGTGACTTCTAATTCTTCCAGTGTATGATTTTTACGATTTAGCTGATTTTTACTATTTTACAGCAGCCCAAGGTGCCTGGAAGAGACTATTTCTTAACCTCAGTATCCAGGCTCTACGGGCGGTATTTCTCTATGATTGCTCCCTTGAAGTACCGTCCTGACTACTGTATTCTGATGGCCCAAACTTTTTGGAACTTTCCTCCGTCTAGTTCTTGAAAAGTACCGTAAGAACACCCTGAAAATCAGAAAACAGTAAAAAAAAATTCATAAAATTCGTACGAATCCTTAGGCACCCCTACTATACGTATAACATCAGCAAAAAACGCCATCATTAGGTCCTGAAACCGATAACAAACAAGACAAAAGATACACGCAAAATATTTGTCTTGCTCGTAGACCAGTGCAAGCTTTACGAGAGGGTGGGAGGGGGGTGAGAGGACACACCTTTGAAGTGTACACACGACAATAGACCAATGTCCTTGAATAGACTATAAGGAAATAACCCTTCACCGAAGCCATACTCGGTTCCCTTTGGGAGTTGTGCGAACAATGAGGTATCATCACTACAAATTGTTTTACAAGAAGGGGGAGTTTCGGTAGCACCTCGCCATCTGGCAAGTTGGAGTTGTCTGTGCTGGCAGTGACTTCATTAGGCCATAGCAAATAAATTTTATGGATGACATCTTCTGCAGACTCCAAATCTTATGCGAGCGGGCGAAAAAAAACAAGGCGGGCCAAAACAAACAAGGCGGGCCGAAAAAAACAAGGTTCCTTTATTTAAAAATTTTTACTCAATCATTGTATGTACAAATGGTTTTGATTCACTGGGAACATCACATATACGCAGCCTGCATCACATATCACTGCATCAAAGTAAGAAACAAAATTTTAACATTAAATCAGAGCCTTGTCTTGTCTCATCTCTTCATAGTTATCTGCCCTCCACCTTCCAGCATGGCAACAGACATCTTTGCCCATTTTCGGCATGTTGACCACTGTCAGAAGGCAACAAAATTTATTTGTTTTTTCTTTCAAAATCTGGCGAAAATCAATGCGCGCGTCGATGTCATCCATAAAATTTACTTGCTGTGGCCTTACCGTGCAGAGGCGCGAAGTTTCTCACAGCGGTTGATGGATGTATGGTTGAGGTGATTATCGTCTGTTTGCCAATGGGCTCTGTGCGGGAGGGAAGGGACGGGGAACTTCGGACTTGTCAACTTTCTCACAGGACTTACAGAAATAGGACAGGCTTTCTGTGTGTGGCCTAGCCTTCGCACCAGTATACTAGTATTAGAAATTAAAGAAACAAACAACTAAAACGATATTTTTTCTACACATCTTTGTGTTCTGCCATGTTTTGCTGGCGACGGAAGTTTTTCACAGGATTATTTTAAGCTTCTGAGATGAATAATATGTGATTAAAATTATAATGCCTATATCTCTTCTTCTGCTATTATCATATTTACATATAATTTTCTAGATATCTTTGTGTTCATAACTGCCATATTTTGCTGGTCACTGATGTTTTTTACAGGATTATTTTAAGCTTCTGAGACGAATATGATTTAAATCTTTACGTGATTAAAATTATAATGCCCATATCTCTTATTCTCCTATTTATTATTTTTACATAATTACTTGCAAGATGGTCAGAATATGAAACCCAAAATATTGCAGCCATAATATTGTTGTTGCAGGGGCAAAGGAATTTCAACTGGTCTTCAACTCTAGACTAGCACCTTACCAAAAACTAAACAAAAAGTGAGGCATTTGGCTGTCTAAAATGCAGAGAAAATTTATACATTTCTGTTTTCTACACTTCTGAAATAGATAGTTTTGCCAGACAGATGTTTATTTTTCTGGAAATGCCGGTTTTTATGTTTTTATTATTTTTCACACCCTGTCCCTCCCTCTGCTCGGTAAGAAATCGTACGTCCCGCCCACCCGCTCCCCACTGCGCATGTCAAATGCAGCCTGTCAACAAAGCAAACTTGCAAATGAGTTGGAGAGGTCATATACGGGCGCTCGAGCCCGGGCCAGTCATAACAGAGGTGGGAAGCACAGAGGTAGGAGCTCGTACCGTGCCGACTGGAACACTTCCTCGGGGCAGCTGCAGCGTAAGCCCGCAGGCCGTCACCGCTAGCTCCGGTGTCTCACCCCGTGTGGACTTGACCGTTTCTATCCGGAACTTTTGCGTCGGGATTTTTAATTGCAGACGGGATTTCTCGCATGGCCTTTTCTCTAAAGCGGACCTAACTTCATTTGTGTCGGACCGTTCTGCTTCTATTGACTACCCAGCGACTTTTGTGTGAGTGTGCTGGCTAGGAGCAGACCGTTTTGCCGTGTGAGGAAATTTTCCCAACGGGACTCTTTGTGACTTTTAGCCGCTGACTTGGCAAATCTGAGGAGCATTCTCACCACCATGGGTGACATCAACCTTGTCGTCGTCGGCAGTGAAAACGTCGGAAAAAGCGGTGAGTTTTTCCTTTTAATTTGGCATTTTAATTGAATTTCCTTCGGTTCGGTGTCGAATGTATTTTTCTTGCTCTCAGTCTTACTCAAGACCCACTCTTAATACACAAACGTATTAACAATATACTTACATTTAGGAGTTGAATTTGTCGACTACTGGAAGTCAATTTTGAACGTCTGTCCGCATGTTGTGGTGGTCATTCACTGTCATGCATAAGAATAGGATTATGTGGGCAAGTACGGTCCTGTCTAGGCCTACACCGTACCTTTATACAACAAACACCTTCTACTAGAGGAAGTTACACCTAATAGGCCGTACGTGTTTGCTTCTCAGTCGATTACCTGCCCTTTGATTAATAAATGGCCACAAATATTGACTCATTTTCTTACCCCCCACAGCTTTGACAGTCCGCTTTCTGACCAGGAGATATATCGGAGAGTATCAGTCTGATACAGGTACGTTACCAAGCAAGACAAAAACGTTACATAGTCTCCATCTAATGGTTTTCTACTCAATTTAACGTTTTAATGGTTTTTAACGACACCTTTTTGAGTAGGGGACGTTTATTTGTTAACCGTTAGTACACAAGGGGGGTGATTGTCTTGAAGATTTTTGGAGAGATAAATTTTCGGTTTTCGGAGACACGGAAAAAGGGACACTAGTACAGGAGTTACCTTGTAAGTACAAAGGGTTTCGGGTTCAGGTTTCTGAGTCTGTTGTTTATGGACTTGTAGTTGTGTGTAGTCCCAAGCGGTTGGAGCATAAGGGTACTTTTGTTGGGAGGGGTGTTGCGGGGTTGTTCGTGTCGCCTGTACGGTGTACCCTGCACACACACCCGTGCATTCATGGCCCTCTCTCCGGTTACAGATATTGTGTACAGACACCAGACCATGATTGATGGAGAGCAAACCAACATAGAGATCCTGGACGTCAGCACTGGAAAGGTGGGTCTTTTCCCTTGTCTTTGAACCGTAAACTGCTGTGCTGCCCTTCGGGGTTAGTCTAACACATCCAGATGTAGAAACTACAAGCCTTTCGAAGGGGGAAGTTTTTTTAGGAACAAATTCATTGCGGGTTTTTGAAAGATAAGACGATTGGGAGTTGAGGTTTTGGCGTGTTTACGCGAAATGGCCCAGTGTTTGCTCCCAGAATTTGCTGGCTGTATAGCTCGTTGAAAATCAACCGAAGGCTCAAACAAGTTGATTCGGGTGATGCAGACATTCGGGCCCGGCGAAGAATCGTTTCCATTCACCGCCCTCGAGATTAAGTCCTTGTTTAACAAAGAAAATAAAAACGTCACGGAAAAAACTCCAATCAGAGGAAAATCCTCTTCAACACAACAATGTGCGGTCGGTGTGATACATGCTGTTGGGATTAGAACCCGGGACTCTTGATCTTTCTGGAAAGGCACACAGGAGTCCTCTGGCGTGCACGGTAGAATGGGCAGACACAAGGCTGGCGTACAGAGAGGAAAGGACCAACACCCGAGCTACAAAATCCGCAGACAACCTATTTCCCGCCGGGACCGGCACAAATCGCTGCATTCACGGTTTTCCCGCAATTAAAAGTCGTGCAAAACTTTTATTCAAACGCCGACGTTTTTAACCGACTAATCCAACCCGACAAGACGAACCCCGAAGTTCACGGCAAAATGGTTGTGTCTAATCCGCGAATCGTGTTTAGAATTACGGTTTAAATATCGGAGCCAAGTGGGTCGGTCGGGCCGCGGTGGTTGTGGTAAATCAACCCCGATCGTTTGAATGGGTTCAGCGCGCCGGGGGTCGGTATAGCCCCGGGCCGTAAGTACAGGGTGCCCGGTGCTCCAGACGGCGGCACCAAATTTGGCCCACACACGGCTTCTAGAACGGAAACGTCGCGCTGAACTGTCATCTTGCGACGACAGACGGCTCCATTTTGTACCCACAACTTATAACTCAATATCTACCGTGATTTTTAGTGCCTTTTAACTCCAAAAACGGTCGCTGACTCAAAACGTTGCGAAGAAAAATAACACCTAGTTGTTGGGACACGATACAGTGCTTTTGCAAGGAAATTTCACGGTTTTGAGTTATGCAGACAAATGTTCCAGGCGCTACCCTCCACTCTTTCTTTGTCACTAGAAATGAATGTTGCAATTCCTCGGGAAATTAGGAATTTTCGTGACGATGACAGTGAGTGAGAGAATATCTCGATGCCCAGACTAAATACAGGACCTGACATTCGTGACTCTCGGTTTATTTTTGTAGAGGGGCCGGAGCACTGGGCTAGCTTCCTCGGTGGGGCATGTTTTGAACCAGGCAACCCCACAAACGCACGTCTGGGCACTCAAGCGTTCATTACTCCAATCCAGACCGCTATATCTCTTACCTGAGAGTGCTTTTCTAATTGGGAACCCAGTAGTATAAAGACTTACCGCCTGCACATGGCCGGTTTTTAGTTTTAAAAGGCTCATTTTAATCTACAGCGAATTTCGGGCACGTAGTAAGTGTTTAAACTTTAACTAGCGTTACAGTCGTTGTGTTTTTCGAGAGACCCTTGTGACAATGAGTTCGATTCTTTGTCAAAATAAAGACCTTTATGGTTTTGTGGACACAATGTTGCTAACTTCGGTTCTACTCCCGTGGTTGTCTCGGCGACATGCCGTCATTCTGACACACCTCGGCGGTTGTCAAGTTTGCTGGTCCGACTTTGTCGCCTTTGTTGACTGTCAGTCACACAAAAGAAGGCGTTGTTCAATGTGTAGCTCCAAAGGTCAGACCTGGAGTGCCACGGGTGATTTTTTCCCCGCTAGATGGGGTGCTAACGAGTCGGGGTGGGGTCCGGCAGCCTGTCGGCCTGTTTTCCTTGGAAATTGTATATTAATTAGGCACACGTGTGCCGTTGATCCTCCCCTACTACACGCCTACATTTTTTGTTTCTACGGTAATCTGGTGGAGACAGCCACACTGTTGTACGGAAAGCCCGGTAGGACTATATTTACCTTTCCCATGGGCACACTTCATAGAAAGGGGAACTGATTCTTATTTTAGGGGCCGTCCATAAATTCCAGACGTTTTCTAGCCTCTATAAACTACTGTTCCAGGCTTCAGAAGCGGCAAGAAAGAGTAGAAATTGATAACATGCCAGAGGAGTTGGTCAGCTAAAGGAGTACAGTTTGTTGCTCTGTGCAGCCGCTTCTGAAGCCTGGTAGAGGCTAGACGTTTTTTTTCATGATTTAATAAAGAAAATATGTAACACTGTATTGGTGTATATGTGCATATTTTGTCTATCATTATACTAAATTTTCTTCCCTTTTTCCTTGTGTCCTCTTCAGGGTGGCGATTCGTTGCTGACAGACAAGCAGATACGGTGGGCGGACGGTTACGTCATCGTGTACAGCATCTGTGACCGGGGCAGTTTCAACCGGCTCCGGGACGTCATCCGGGACATTCGCGACATCCGGGCATCCGAGAACCACCACCATCACGGCCACCATTACAATCACTACTCCATGGTCATCATCGGTAACAAATCGGACTTAGAACACCGCAGAACTGTGTCTACTGAGGAAGGAAAAGCGCTAGCCGCTACCTTAGAGTGTCCCTTCGCAGAAGTTTCGGCCGCGGACAGTTACCACGATGTTGCAAGGACAGTTCAAGGACTTTTGAGGAGCGTACACGACACCAAGGTCATGTTGAAGAAGAGAAGAAATAGCCAGAAGTTCGCCACCGTTGCCAAGGCACTAACGGGAATGTTCGGAGGAAAGAAGACCACAAGAAAACGACGCTCCTTGTAAAAAAAAACAACAGAGACACAGACCAGAACTGTTATGTCTAAAAAGCGTCACTATAAAATGTATATCAGAAGTATCTAGCATGTTGTCGTAATGCATGTTGTCCTAAGAGAAATGCACAAAGTGATATGTAAATATGTTAATGTTATTTATGACGTTTCAGTGTTTTTTTCACCGCCTCGCAAAGTTACATTATACCACTCATTGCACTGTTGGAATAACTACACAAATATAAACTGTTAGCTAAGGCCTATCGGAAAGTATAACGACTGTATCTCTTCCCTTTCGAAGAAAAACGAATTTTACTCAGTTTCCCAATGTTCAAATGGAGCCATACAGAAGAAACAAGTGTGAAAATTGTCCAAATTTATGAAAGAAATTTTCGGGGAACATCGTTTCAGCGACTAGCTTGAGCAGTGTTCTAAACCCGATATTTTTTTGTTGTCGTCCCCAAATGGCATGAAATTATATAACTAAGAGAATGAATATATTTTGTAGATCGTTACGGGGCTCAAAGAAAGGTCCCTTCTATTTGAATGTAAATATTCCGCGGCGTGAGCTGTAGGCAAAATACACAGTCCTCAAACCGGTCGCTAAACAAAGGATCTCTTCTATTTTGTATGCCCTTCGCTATGCCATGTTGCTTCTTGACCTTTTTCTCTGAACATAATCGGCTTTTCTCGCTCACATTTGTTTAGAAACCTTCCCACTTCCCACCCCTCTACAAAAAGGGTAGATCACTCCAGACTGTAAAAACAGTTTTGTGAAAGCTATTCCAATGTTAAATCCTTTGTACCGAAGGAAAATAAACGCATGTTTTCTTGTTTATACACGGAATCTTGGTGGTTTTCTCTTGTTTGTTTGAAAAGGGCGAGCCTGGCTCTCCTCCCTCGCATACTCAGATCATCAAGTCAATACAACCACTAGAGTACATAACAAGCATTGTAGTGCACACTCCACAAGCATTAGGACGGCACAAAAAGATGATTCATTCGATAAAGAAGGACTCCCATGTAGCCAACAATGGAAGACACAATTAATTAAGATTCCTTTTCGGGAGGATGACTGTGCGAAGTGACATGAGTGTTGGTCCGCCATTGTCTGTCGCAGTCCTTCCACCATAGGTTGTAGATAATTCACGAACCGTTAAACAGGATGATGAGAGAGTAGAACATCAGACCACCCCATAGAAAATGTTGCCAGGTTTGTTCACGAATATCCCAGGGGATGTGGAGACTAAAAAATTAGCCAGAGTACAGAATATAAACGCTTGAAGGACGCACAGAGAGGTACAACAAAACAAATTGGCTACATGCATTTGTTCTGAGGGTAGCCTGAATGCGTAGAATCCATAGCTTATATTCTAGCCTCTACCAGGCTTCAGAAAGCAGCTAGAAAGTGTACAAATCGCATCCAAATACGATGATATACCAGGGGAGTTGGCCCGCTCTGAGAGAACATTTTGCCGCTTCCCGAAGCCTGATAGAGGCTACTTACTAGTATATTCCACTGAACGTGCAATCTCCAAACAGATGTTTAAGAGTTGTTCGGGGAAGGGGGTGTCATTTTGTATGTCGACGTCTTTCTACTAAATTTTAGTGTGTGTGTTGGGTGGGGGGGGGGTGAACAGATACCACCACCGACAGGCTTTGCGTAATTTTCAAGCAGATATTTCGTTGTCAAAGTCGTATAATCAACTGACAAGAAACTATCCAAAAGGCCAATGTTTGGTAGCCTCTACCAGGCTCCGGGAAGCGGCTAAAAAAAAAAAAAGTAACGAACGACAAAATGTACTCTCTAGCGGACCAACCCCCTTGCCCTTGGCATATTATTATATTTCTATTTCGCCACTTTCTACAATTTTTTCAACGACCTCCGAAAGCCTGGTAGAGGCTAAATTTTTGGGACGACTGTCAGAAAACGATACACAGAAATATTAGGCCACAGTCTTCACAATCAACCAGGCTTCTGCTTGAAGACTACCCTTACCGGTCCCTGTTTTTGGAGCTGTAACAGTACAAGGGGAAGTCAGGCATGGTTAATGCTGGGATCTCTGCACTTCCGAATCCACCTTTGTACCTGCTGGTGAGTTGTAAACAACCGGCGTAAGTTGTGGAAATCTCTACACGGGAACTTCCTAACCCCGTGTCACGGTGCGTTAGACCGGGACAATGTACGGCAGGAAGCGGCCAACCTAAAGCCGATTGCGGGGTGGGGTGGGAAAGTTGGGTGGGTGTTTCAAGGGAACACCGCCCTTTTACTTTTATTCACCGGAAAATAAACCACACCTTTTTCTACGAGAAAGAAAAAGAGGCAAAAATGCTAAAAATTAAGTTGAAGTGGCCAACCTCGAGAGACAACAAAAGAGGGTGAAAATGCCGAAAAAGCTGATTGCGTGGTGGGATGGGAAAGTTGGGTGGGTGTTTCAAACGAGAAGACAATGCAAGGGAACACCGCCCTTTTTATTCACGGGAAAAGAATCCACACCTTTTTCTACGAGAAAGTTGTTTTTTTTCATAGAAGAAGGTTCTTAACTGACTCAACAAAAAGTACAGGGACTTTTGTATGGTCTTCTACAACTAAAAATCTAACAAAGCTAAAATACATGTATGAATAACGTCATCCTACGTACAGAATATATTTATGCGGCAAATTACGTACAGAATATATGTCAGCGGCAACAATAAAGGTTTAACTATTCTCTAACATGTAGTCTATAAGATTTAAACATTCTTTGATGATGTATTTTCCTATTTGAACACTGAATTGGTTATCTCCCCTGAGAACTCAGGTGTTTTTGAAGGGGGGGTGCATGGGCGAAACTTACATGATATATTGAGAAATTTTGTTCTTTGTGTGACAAAAACACTGCATTTTTTCTACCTGTACAAAGTACCAAACACTTAAACAGTGAATCAAAAACCACGCCGTCTTTTGTCGTCATATTTACCAACGGAATTCACCCACTTTTACACCTCCACATGACTTCCGTGCATAGAGCATTGTTAATCAGAAAAGGTATGAGAAAAATGTGTATGAAAAAACTGTTTGGAATGTTTTTTTGTAAAGAGAGTTTGTCTAAGGTATTCGCGCCCTGGAGGTTTAGTCATTGTTTGTTATACGCCATAACGTTAACGTTATTTGCACTTGAACTGGAATTTGTGGGGTCACCCACTCACTTCCGTATTTCTTAAGGGTTCCGAAGACAGGTGAACTATAGGTGTTGACGGCTTGTTTTGAGAGTTCCACTTAGGTAATTGTTTGTCGGGCAGAGCTCTAGCCCTAGGTTAGGTCGTAATGTTATTTGCACTTGTACCAAAATCCATGTTTCACCCACTCATTTCCGTATTTTATGACACATTTTAAGGACTCCGGCGACAGGTGAACTTTGAGGTGTTAGCGTTTTTTTAGAGTTCCGCTGAGGGAATTGTTGAATATTTGTCGGTCAAAGCTCTCGCCCTAGGTTAGGCCGTATGCTATTTGCACTTGTCACCAAAGTTCAAGATTCTCCCACTCATTTCCGTACTTTTTGACACCTTTTTAAAGACTCCGTAGGCAGGTGAACTTTGAGGTGTTGGTGTTTTGTTTTGAGAGTTCCGCTGAGGTAATTGTTGTAGGTCAAGTTGTCGGTCAGATCTCTAGCCCTAGGTTAGGCCGTAACGGTATTTGCACTTGACAGAAATTCATATTTCTTCTGTTTTGTATTTTTTAAGGATACCGAAGTCAGGTGAACATTAGGTGTTGACGGTTTGTTTTGATAGTTCCGCTGAGGTAATTGTTATAGGTATATCGGTCAGAGCTCTAGCCCTAGGTAAGGCCGTAACAGTATTTGCACTTGACCGAAATTCGCCTCTTTTGTATCTTTTAAAAATACCGGAGACAGTTGAACTTTAGGTGTTGACGGTTTGTTTTGAGAGTTCCACTGAGGTAATTGTTGTAATAGTTCTAGCCCTAGGTTAGGTCGTAATGTTATTTGCCCTTGTCACCAAAATCAATGTTTTAAGGGTTCCGGAGGGAGGTGAATTTTGAGGTGTTGGCGTTTTGTTTTGAGAGTTCCGCTGAGGTAATTGTTGTAGGTTTGTCGGTCGGTAGGTAAGGTTGTGGTCATGTTTGCTGTGCGTTACTGACGGCACATGCCGGGCGTTCTTGTTAGATTGACTCATGTCAACAGACAAGGGCCACAGTGCACATTTCAATGTCATCCCGGAGGGGGGACGCGGGCGTAAAGCCTGATCTTTCACCCCCTTCCCCCAAAGCAAGGCAATGTCATTATAGAAAGAAAAATGCTGCCCATCTCTCTAATTGTGGAAAATTGTGGCAAAAATGGTCTTTTGTGGCAAAAAAAGATTTTTTTCGTATACAGTTCCTGGGCGAAGAACCTTCGTAGAGGCGTATTGCTGTAAACTACAGCACCATAAAATCATTTAAAAACCTTTAACACAAATCAAACAAATTTCAATGATATTTCAACGTAGGTGAACCTCTCTTTCTCTATGATTTCTATCGCATTTAGAAAGTAGCCTCAAAGAGATGGTCGTAACATTTTGTGTCACACATAAAAGAAAAAAAAAACGAGGAAGCCAGAAAGGTAACGATGGTCCCATTTCGTAGGTTAAAGTCTGACTGGGTCTGTACGGGGTATTTGAAGAACCTGTTTGTTCTTAAGGACAAGGAGCGAACCTGTGAGTCCGACATGTGGCGCAGGGAATGTCGGGACCTGCTCACACCTTCCCGCCATTGACGTCACATGTCGTAATGGCCTTCAGGCATTCGGAAATGACCCGATTCCGGTGCTATCTTCTTGTTTGAGAAGGTGGACATCGGATGACCCCAGGACTAACTTTATGTCAAGTTTGGTACGGGGATGCGAGGAGACTTACTCCAATTTATCCAGTGGGCATTTCTATACATCTCCAAGCAGATACAAGGCAGTATCCATTGGTCAAGCAATGACAATTCATAGCGAAGTAGGATCTGCTTGGAAATTAATTTCTATCATTACTAATCTCTATTTCATCACACTAATAATGATTTTAAGAAATATATTGCACATGTATACTAGCCTGGTTAGGACTCGGGAGCTATAATAGGTTTGGTAACTGGGCTACATGTATACAGAGATCTAATATATCAACATTATTATAAGAGCAAAACTATTGGAACATACCTCACAACATTTTCTTGAAGATAGGAAGATAGGAATCCCAAGAAATTGAGATATTTGATTTCTATCACGAATATCAAATCATCTTAATCAATTGCAAGGCCAAGAAAGCATGAAGATAGCCCTTTCGAACTTTTTATAAACTTCTATACACCCCGCAAGCAGCCAAGGGCATCAACCCACAGGTTGTAGTACTAGTATCACCTCAGAAAACCTCTGCAGACAAGCTAGCCATATGGTTCCCAAGCTTATGTTCCCGGTAGCGGACAGCTTACACAGATCGTGTTACCTCCTGACAACCGGGATGTTGTCCTAACTCCTCACCCCACAACATCCCCACATGTTGGACACAGGTTTGTTGTTGTAGGAGGGCGATGGGACGGTGCGGTGATGGACAGCTCAGTCAGACGACACTGTCCTCAATTCTGAGGGAAAAGTCCCTAGTTCTCACCCCAAAACACTCCACAGGTGTGTAACTGTAGGACGGCGGTGATTGACAGCTCAGTCAGACGACATTGTCTCCCAATTCTGAGGGAAAAGTCCCTAGTTCTCACCCCAAAACACCCCACAGGTGTGTTACTGTAGGACGACGGTGATGGACAGCTCAGTCAGACGACATTGTCCCCAATTCTGAGGGAAAAGTCCCTAGTTCTCACCCCTAAAA